TGCAAACTTTGCACCGAAGGAAGATGAGTCCCCGATCAACTCGGACGCGGTGTCCGAGTTCCTGCTTCGTCGACAAGCCATCACACGATTCGTACGTGATGCCCTACAGACAGCGGTCGACAAGCAGAAGGAGTACGCTGACAGACGGGGTCGGAAGAACACATCGCGCTTCCGACGAGGCGATCGAGTCTTGCTGTCCACGGATGGCATTAAATCAGCTGCTGTGACGAACTTGGGTGCTAATAAGTTAGCCCCTCGTTATATCGGACCATTTAAAGTGACGCAAGTGATTGGAGACGCTTACATGCTGGATATACCTAAGGCAATGCGCTTGCACCCGACGTTCTACGTCGGACGCCTCAAGCCGTACTACCCCGCTACGATTCCGTCCGACGCTCACCCTCACCAGGTGCTGGCGCGTAATCCGATCGCCCAGCATGACGACGCTGCCGCCGAGAAAGCAAGAGGCCTCCCTCCTCTCCGCTGCCCGAGGCCCACCGCACCTGTTCAAACTGAGAAGCGAGCCTCTCAGCCACGTATGCGCGCTGATCAGCAACCTCCGCAAGCTGTCGAGCCTCCAGTGCATCGTCTCTCGCCTGATCGGCCTCCCGACGCATCAGGCGATACTGGTCGATCGTCAAACGCTCCACTGCGCCGCTCTCCTCGACTCCACGAGAATAAACCGAATCACGAAGCCCGCTATCGACGAGACCCGCCGCCACCACTAGTTGATGCGGCGGGTAACGAACGCTTGATCGTGGAGAGACTTGTCGACCACAATGTGCGTCGTGGTCGTGCCCGTCGTAGCGAAAAACATTATCGTGTCCGCAGGCTTGGCCACTCTCCCACTGGTGACACGTGGGAGGCACGTAGTCGCCTGCTTGAAGACGTTCCCGACGTGGTGAACGACTACGAGGCCTCGCTCGTGACCGCGAGCGTGACTGCTGTCGCTGTGAATGACTACGATCCCGAGAACGACTTCGGCTGCGCGGATGCCAACGTTGATGTGATCCCCTGCGGTGAAGTGTGTTGCGTATCTCCGCCTGCTCCAGCTGCGACCGCGATCGGTCGTAGGGACCGACTGCTTGCCGCTCTACCTCGCTCAGTGGCCAGAGCTCCAGTTGATGCTCCCATTCAGCGCGAGTCGGTCGATCCCGAGTCTCAGAGCAGTTCGCACAGCCTTCCACAAGGTGCACGTAGCCGATTCGCCACTCGCGCTGTACACACGCTCCCGCAACTCGCCAATAGCATGGTTGCTCCTATTGCCCTCGCGGTCTTCGAGCCAGGATGTGAAGGACAGGCCTTCACGTCGCGCGGCGTTCCA